TCTCTTTGAGCTGTTGATCTGCAGTTTGATGTCTGCCCAGGTTTTCATGTTTCTCCTGCTTTTTCGTGTCTTGTTGTTTCATTTGTTCAGGGACTTTAAGAATCTTGGTATTGAGCTCTTTTAAGCAGAACCCCCTGGGATCATCAAAGATGTAGAGGATAAAACTGCAAGGGAAGGTGTACCCGGAAAGTGTTTTTATTTTATGTTGCCGGTAACCTGAGGGATGGACTGTGTTCACCGTGTTGCACTGTTTTAGTCAGGAAACAAAACAGAAGCAGTGAGTGGGAACCATCCAGAGGTGAATCCTGGAGGCCGTCCCCGGGGACATGGAGAGGGAAGTTGCTACACGTAGGGTCAATAGGGGTCTTAGAAAAACCCACAGTTGTGCAAGACTGTAGGGTTTAAAGCATGCTTTTACCTACAAAGGATTGCTTTTTAGTTCTTACGACACAAAAAGTCCAGGTTGCAACATCAGAGAAATTGAAGAAAAAGGAGTATGAGGGGCTGAGATCTGAAAGACCAGCGGATACATATAAAGAGTGATTTTTCAAGTTACAAGTCTAATGTGTTTGCTGTTGATACTTTAAAAGTGACATATTAGGGGAAAATATATTTTTCCAGTCCTTAGATATTTTTTCAAAAAATTGAAGTAGACTCCATACCAATTTTTTTTCCTATGGATTTCTAACGCCCTATGATTTGTAAACCAGATTAGCTTTTGAACTTGGTGTTTTATTTGCCAGTGACAAAAGTGATGGGCTCCCTGTTTTATACCCAAATTTGCACACACTGCTTGTCTGATGTTCCTGTTGGATTTCACAGTGGATTGTTAGACACCTGTGAGAGCATCTTCACCATTCTGTTAGGCAATGGCAGCTTACCTTGCAAGTTCATTCCTCTTCAAAAACTAACACCAGGCCAGCACCGTGGCTCACTTGGCTAATCCTCCGCCTGTGGCACTGGCACCCCGGGTTCTAGTCCTGGTTGGGATGCTGGGTACTAGTCCCAGTTGCTCCTCTTCCAGTCCAGCTCTCTGTTGTGGCCCGGGAGGGCAGTGGAGGATGGCTCAAGTGCTTGGGTCCCTGGGAGACCAGGAGACCAGGAAGAAGCTCCTGGCTTCGGATCGGCGTAGCGTGCCGGCCATAGTGGCCATTAGGGGGGTGAAGACCTTTCTCTCTGTGTCTTTCTCACTGTCTATAACTCTCTCTCTGTCTCTCTCTTTCACTGTATAACTCTGCCTGTCAAAAAAAAAAAAAAAAAAACCAGTGTTACCTGCCAAGGTTCCCGCTTCCTATTGTTTTTATGCAAAATAAGTTATTGCCGGTTTCAACTTGCAAATTAAGAGCATACATTGAGAGGAAAGCTTCGTAGGTACAGCTGGACTTTGGGTGTGCTTTAATGTAGTTGAGAGGCAGAGAGAGAAAGAGAGAGAGAATAAACTACGACCCACTAGTTCACTTCCCACATGCCAGCAACTTCTGGGACCAGGCCAGGCCACAGGCTGGAGCCAGGAGCTCAAGTCTGAGTCTCTCTTGTGGGTGGCGGGGACCCAATTAACTTGAGCCTTCACCACTGCCTCCCAGGCAGTGCTGGCAGGAAGGTGGAGTGAGGAGCCAGAACCAGGTATAAACACAGGCATTGTGTGACACAGGACGTGGAGGGCCTACGTGGTGTCCTAATGGCTAGGGCAAATGCCTGTGCCAGTACTGCGGTTTTGGTGTGTTCACCTGTGAGCAGCCTCTGAGTTTCGTGAGATGTGAACCGAACAAAGACCTATGATCAATTGCCAGTTAAAAAGTTGACCATCGCTTTGCACCTGTGATATCCTTGAACCATGCACTGAAAGGTGGTTGAAACCAGTTTCCAAGTGCTCATGTTTCAACCAGCCATTATTCAGATCCAATTCCCATGGGTATTTAAGTAAAGGCACAAGGACCTATTTTCAAACCATCCAATCTGCTTTTTGCAGATCTAGTTCCAAGTTTTATGTTGGTGATTTCATTGTGCTTTTTCTTGGATAGAACATTCTTTTTTTCTCAAAAGTGCTGAGTGCCATATGACAATAGCTAAATTCTAGAAGCACTCTCACTTTAAATTCTTTGTCACATCAGTGGGTAGAGAGAACCAGGGAGATTTAATTTTCATTTTTCACTGAATAGTTTTGCTTCATGAAAGTAATATTGCCCTCTCTTCTGTTGCTGTGATTTCATGATTAATTAATATTTAAGTTTCATGGCAGTAAAGTAACCATTTCTGTAAGCAATATTCATTGTGTTTTTGGGATTCTCTTACCATAAAATCAGTTATTGTGGATAAGTTAAAAAAAAAAAACAACACACACACACACATTGAATTTCCAGGTCTCATTTTTCCTGGCATAAGGAAAACAGATTTGGAGAAAACTTCAATACCCTTAGTGTAGACTGGCCTCCCCCTAAGAGGAGAGAAAAAGCTCAGAAAGACGACCTCAGACAGTTATTAGAACTTGTAACCAAGAGAGCTGCAGGTGCAGCAGCGGCAGCTGTGACAGGCAGGAAGGGCAGCCTTGGATCCCCTGAGCTCTCACAGTTGTGGCCGTGGGCTCAGGCTGCCCTGACAGAGTACTGCAGGTGGGAGGTTTTAGCAACAGACATGTCCATGTGTTTTTTCACAGTTGTGGAGGCTGCAGGCCCATGAGCAAGGGCTGGGGTGGTGTCTCCTGAGTCCTCTTCTTCCTGGCCTGTGGGTGACTGCCTTATCCCTGTGTCCTGGCATGCCTCTGTCTGTGTGCTCACAATCCTGGTGTCTCTTCCTCTTCTTCCAAGGCCGCCAGTGCTCCTGGGTCAGAGCCCACCCTTAGGATGCCCTGTTCCTTCATTCCGTCTCTAATTGCAGTCACAGTGAACTGAGGGCCCCAGTGTATGAATCTGAGGGGACACAGTGTGGGGCATAAGAAGAGTGAAGGTCTCCTGTGTGAGGTCCCTTGGTCAGATATACTGCTTTGATAATTGGTTGTTTTTTGTTTTTTGTTTTTTTTTTTTTTTTTTTGGGTTAAGATTTATTTCTTTATTTGAAAGGCAGAGTTACAGACAGAGAGGGAGAGACAGAGAGAAAGGTCTTCCATCCACTGGTTCATTCCCCAAATGGCTGCAGTGGCCAGAGCTGGGCTGATCTGAAGCCAGGAGCCAGGAGCTTCTTCCAGATTTCCCATGTGGGTGCGGGGGCCCATACACTTGGACCATCTTCTAATGCTTTCTCAGGCCATAGCAGGGAGCTGGATAGGAAGTGGAGCAGCCGGGACACAAACTGGCCCCCATATGGGATGCTGGTGCTGCAGGTGGGGGCTTAATCTGCTACACCACAGTGTCAGGCCCCTGATGATCGGTTTTAACTAGAAATATGTATTTTATTATTCCTAATACACAAGTGAAAACCAGGACTTCTCAAAGAGCATGGAGTAAGAAGTGATGACCTCCATGACGATTGGTGTTCCCAGTGTCTGTTCTCTGGGTGTTGAGACCTCACCCACTGTCATGAGGTTAAGATCTGAGTCCCTGAGGAACTGCTGAAGAGGTGCACGTTCAGGAAGGATTGGGTTTAGTGCTTTGTAGAGAAGACACTAACACCACCATGGGAGGGCCCGGAGAGCAGATGGCTGCTGTGGAAGCAAGTTTTCATGCATGGAGCCACCCATCAGTGTCCCAGCAGGGACAAGTGGAGAGGTTACTCAGATGGGCAGGGTGTGGAACGTGGTGTCGCCATGTCACATTGCTCCTTTCATGATTGAGAAATGCAGAGACCTTTTTCTTTAAAAACAAAGCATTTGTTTATATACTTGAAAGGCAGAATGACAGAGAAAGAGGGAAAGACGAGAGAGAGAGGAGAAAGATCTTCCATCTGCTGGTTCACTCCCCAGACGGCCACAATAGTCAGAGCTGGGCCAAAAGATAGATGCTAGGAGCTCCCCTAGCTAGGTGGGTGGCAGGGACCCAAGCACGTGGGCCATCATCTGCTGCCTTCCAGGGTGTGCTTTAGCAACAAGCTTGGTGGGAAGCACACAACAGCAGAGTCTCAAGCCAGGCTCTCCTGTGAGCATCCGCTGCGGTGGCTTAACCCACTGCACCACGACACCCGCCCAGCAGCTTCTTCCTCGAATAGTTGATGGTTCACCCGAGGCCCATCAGGGTGTCATCCCTGAAGCCACTTGCCAGCATCTGTGATGCCAGAGTTCTTACTCAGACTGCCTGTCTCCTGTGGCTGCTCTGTATTCTGAGTTTTTGTTTTTGCTTCCTCTTTATGAAACTCATTGTGTTCTTCCCCGTTTAAATGTGACCTTGCTTACCTATCACCAGGTGCCATTTATGAATAATGGCAGTTGTCCCCATTTCAACATCATATGCTGTCTTGACAAAGATATCTTTCCCGTTGTCTGAATTTGTATGGCTTTCAAAGCAGAATTATGATCCCATATGCACTCAGACTTTTCAAAAATGAAATATTACAGCCCCAGGAAAATGCCTATTATATTTTGTTAATGTCATCTGGAGAAGCATACCCATTAGGTATGCGCCATACGCTACTCATCATTGGTATGAATTATATAGAGCGCAGTGAGAATATGCTAAATGGATGTCTCCATTCAGTGGATTCTGGCTTAGCACTGTTAGCACGTATTTTGTGCATAAGTGAGATCATTTTTTAAAATTAGTGTTGTGAAATCCTAAGGAAATAGAAAAACAAATGGAACTTCACAGAGTCCGCTCTGCTGTTAGAACATGCAGTGCTGCTTTCAGAATACGCGGTTCACCTTCGCTCACAGTACTAACGTGGTCTTCTCGCTGCTTTCCCGTCCTTGTTTTCTAGGTATAGAGGCAAAACGTACAGGGCCGTGGTGAAGATTGTGCGGACATCCGACCAGGTGGCCAATTTCTGCCGCCGAGTTTGTGCCAAGCTAGAATGCTGTCCAAACTTGTTTAGTCCTGTGCTGGTTTCTGAAAACTGCCCCGAGAACTGCTCCATCCACACCAAAACCAAATACAGTGAGTACAAATTGTGAAAAAATATATATACTGGATGAACATAGGCCTACACTGTAGCATGATGGATTTGGCTTGTGTCTTGCAACTTTCTGAACAATTTGGTGCTATGGACAAGTTCTATAAGATTTGTTGCCTGGCATACTCAGAAGGCCCTGGGGGTGATTAAAAAACAGGAGGAGTTATCATTGTTAGGCCTTGGAAAATATGAAAAAGCGTTAAGTGTTGTGAATTGTGGTAGATTGATTGATTGATTCGGAAGCTGTGTGAGTGGAAGACATACATAATAAAACTGGTTGGTGATGGCTGGTGACCTCCTGGGTTACTTTCCCGGCCTCTGCACTGAGGCACGCTGCTGACTCTTCCATGCCCTTCTTCACACGGGGGCTACATCCTTATCACACCTCGTATCTCCCCAGCTTAGACACATTCCTTGTGTCTCTCATGAGCAGAGTCCTCCGAGGACTCTGACGCTGCTCACTGCCTTTGCTGTCCACCATGAGGCAAAGCCAAGTTCATACTTGCTGACACCTTTCTGACCTTTGCCCTTTATACTTGCCTCTTCCACCACCAACCCCCTGCCCCAATCATGTTTGGTGACCTCTGTCTTGGGCTGGTGGCCTCTCCCAAGCCTCTTCCTCTGTTATCCTGACATTCTTTTTCCACCGCGGGGCACCTACCCCAAGACACCCCCACCTTGGATATCTTGAGCTCAGACCTTTCTCGGATCCACAACTCCCGAGCTTCTGCATCGCCCTTACTGATTTCTAACCCAAGCGACAGTGACCTGGAAGTCAGCTCCGCCTGTTGGAGACCCGTGCCATGTGGATGTACCCTCTGAGCTGCAGTCCCTTGTGGTTGGTCACCTCGTGTTTGAGAATCAGGAGTCTAAAAGTCCTTGAGACAGCATTCGGTGTGTGACGTGCCTTTTGCGATGTCTGTGGCTGTGTTTCACCCCCGTTCCTGTGGAAGTGTGGCCACCCTGTCTCACGCTGGGCCCCGTGTCGGCCTCAGCAGCCACAGGTGTGTTGGGGGAAGCACATCCCCTGCTTTTTGAGCAACTTGTTTCCACGTGACGTTACCTTTGGCCCCAGAGGAATTCACTGCATAGCTGCTCTTGCATAATACTAATTTTTTAAAAATATAGACTTGGCTGAGGGTTACACTTGGCCTGAAATGTTGATCTTAGAACTGGGCTTCTGTGGACTTCTAGGACAGAGGGAGGAAGAAAGAAGGGGCAGAGTTAAACACAACCGAAATCCACGTAAAGATTTTTCTAGGTTTGGTATTATTATAAAGCTTCAAAACCCTAAGATCCCTAGGGTTCACTTCCCATGAATATTATCGCAGTTTGAACCAAAGCTCCCCGGGAGAGTCACCGACAGTGTTTTGGTGGGATTGAGAGCAGTAAAGTCAGGGCTTACCCGAGACTGTAGAAGTGCACTGAAACCTGTGATTGCGATCGCCAAAGCCGGTCTGATCACCGGCATCCCGCTCCTGGCTTACCACAGCTGCTTGAGGTTTCAGGGTGTGAACAGGCGCTCATTCATTTGTACCTCAAGATAACCACGAATGGCACCCCCCCCCCCCCCCGCCACATTCATTCCATAATCTTTGTCCAGTTTGTGCTCATCAAAGATTGTGGTCCCACATGGGATGTGAGGTATTGTCCCAAGCTCTCCTGCAGTCAGCCCGAAGGTTGATGAGAGCATTTGACTTCCCAGAGCAGGTGCACTTTCTGTGGGTTTACAGCAGTTCCTATAGCAGCCATCCTAATGACCCACATGCCAGTGAGAATTTCAGGCCCCCAGGACACCTACACTGGTAGTTCTGTGGTCTCACTTTGCAGATGAGAAAACTGAGGTGTATAAAGATGAGGCAAGGCGCAAGGAAGCTGGGGGTACAGCAGCATGGGGATGCTCTCCACCCCGCCTCACTGGAAACCAGGACCTACGTGTTTCGATGCTTTCTTTTGGCTGCCTCCATCCGTGCAGGGAGTTACCCAGTGGGACTCACAATTAGTGAGTCAGCCGCCTTGATCGTGATCCTGGCTGAATACTGCTGCCTCCTTAGTCATGGTTTTAATTAGTTGACGGTGCACCTGATGTGTAAAATACATTAGTCGTTAATGTAAGTAGGTAAACAGTTTCAGACTGATGTGTGAAGTGTTAATGTGTACATACGAGGATACTGCAAAAGGTTCACGGAAAATTGAATTAAAAGATAAAGCCTGTTTTGGTGCAAAATAATTTTGAAATCCATGTTTACAAGAAGCCTTCATAAAATTCATGAAAGGTGTGTTTTTTGAAAAAAATAAAGTCATGGTTTTCAAAATTTTGCACCAAAATAAACTCATCTATTAGTCCATTTTTCTATATTTTTTCCAAACAGTGTTTCTTAAAGGTATGCAGGCAAGGGTGTTGGGCGATCTGTTTCAGAAGACAGGCTCCCGCTGTGGGAAGCTTTACTGTCTTGGATACAGGAGTTCTGTCAGAATAGGATTCCGGGGGAGGGGGGCTGGGGGACAGCAAGCTAGGAGGTTAGGTCACATATGAAATTATCTGGGAGATTTGTGTCATACTTGTATTTGAATGCACATTTTTGGAGTAAGCTGATCCCTCTCTTTTTTTAAGATTTATTTATTTATTTACCTGAAAGAGTTACAGAGAAAGAGAGAGATATCTTCCATCTGCTGGTTTACTCCCCAAGTGGCCAGGTGGCGGTAAGAGCCAGGGCTGAGCCAGGAGCTTCATCCAGGTCTCCCATGTGGGTGGCCAGAGCCCCAGATACTTGGGCCATCTGCTGCTGCTTTTTCCAGGCCATTAGAAGGGAGCAGGGTGGGAAGAGGAGCAGCCAGGACACAAACCAGTGCCATACAGGATGCCCGCGTCACAGGGGGCAGCTTTACCCACTACGCCACAACACCGGCCCTTAAAAAGTTTTTAATCATCTTTCCTTCTACAGCCTATTATTATGGAAAGAGAAAGAAGATCATTAAGCCCCCAATTGGGGAAAGCACCATTGAGAGCGGCCACCCTAAACCAGCCAGACGAAGAAAACGACGAAAATCCATTTTCGTGCAGAAGAAACGGAGATCTTCCACCGTGGACTGCACAGCAGGCTCTGGGGAGGTAAGTTCTGCCCTAGAGCACCTTCCAGCCTGCAGCTTTGACGCACGGCCCTGGCTGGCAGGGGGCCCCGCCTTACAGCAAGAGCTGCCTCAGGTTTGCTGCAAAATGGTCAGAAATGCAGACTAAGAAGCACCCCCCTGACTTGGTGGAGGCAGAGTTAGCGTGCTCAGCTCAGAAAGGGACCCTCAGCTGTCCTGGTGCAGTGGGTTGCCCTGAGCCAGCCTGGAAAGAAAACAGCCATCACCAGGGGCCTGCGTGTGGCTGCTGTTGCCGGCCACCTGGATGCCTCCGGCCAGCTCCCTTTACGCCTACTGCCTTTGAACACATTTTCCTTCTTCCCAGGAGAGTGAAGAGGAAGATGCAGACGCCATGGACGATGACACCGCCAGCGAGGAGACTGGCTCCGAGCTCCGAGACGACCAGACGGACACCTCATCTGCAGAGGTGCCCTCGGCCCGACCCCGCAGGGCCGTCACCCTGCGGAACAGCTCAGAGCCTGCACGCCGGCCTCCCGTGGAAAGAGCCCGAAGGGGCCGCCCAGCGCCAGCCACCTCCTCCGTGGAGGAAGGGGAGAAAGGCCTGCCTGCCGAGCCAGAGGGGGCAGAGGTAAAGCACGGGGAGTATCACTCGTGCCACACAGCTCAGAGCCGCGATTGGAGGGAACCTGTTCGAAATGTCAGAAACAGCAGCAGCCTCAGGGCTGGAGGCAGGAATGGCGTCTCCTTTTCCTGGTGGCTCTAACACCACCAGGGGTATCTTCTGAGGTTTCCGAAACGCCATCTCTGCGTCTTCCATCACCCTCTGCCGTGACAGGGACACCTCTGTGATGCTGTGAAATAATCAGTGGTTCAAGGCCTGCCCCCAGCCCGCAGGTTGCCTGTGAGCTGCTAGAATGGTCATTGGCACTATCGTCACAGGTCAGCGGGGACAGCTGGGTCTCCCGTGTATACACTGCCTGTGCCCCTTACCAGTTCTTTTCCCTCTGTTCTGAGGTGCTTCCTGAACAAGCAGGCCCAAGAGTCCCTGGGTCAGGATTCAGAAACGGCTGCCCCTGTGGCCAAGTCATTACCGAGGGGAAGTGTAAGAAACTCCCTAGAGACTGGAAGTTTCTGTGGTTTGTTCAAGTGCCCAGGGAGGCAGTCGCTCCCGGTCTAAGAAGACAGCTCAGGCCCAGAGAGTGTTACAAGGGAGCATGCTGGCCATGCGTGGGTGTAGTGAGCATCACCTGCCTGTTTCCTCTGCAGGAAACGAAACAAGAAGAGGAGGAGGAGAGACTCGTTCTGGAAAGCAACCCGTTAGAGTGGACGGTCACGGACGTTGTGAGGTTCATTAAGCTCACGGATTGTGCCCCCTTGGCCAAGATATTTCAGGAACAGGTACAGTGGCTTGCTGTGTGTTTATTGTTCTATGAGATGATTCCTCTTTCCCTACCTGGCTTCCTTGTGACTGTCAAGTAGGAAGTAGACATTCAAGTGCTGTTGACACCCAAATGAGGCTCTTGTTGGCACTGCTGGGAGACCAGGCTCCCTGTGTAGCCCCCACTGAGAGTTCCCAGGCAGGGAGGCATGGGAGAGCCTTGTTCCTGCTCCTTGCTGGCCTCGGTGACACCACGGCAGGGGTTGGTGTTTCTCCACCAGGCTTTTGTGACATCACCAAGACGGAACAGGGGAGGGGATGGGGTGGAAGGCTGGGCTACACCCGCGGTTTGCAGCAACCCCAGAGAAGGGATCTCCTCACTGCCAGGTGGGAGTGAAAGTCCCAGCCCTCCACTTGGCTTTCTGAGATGCCACCTTGTTGCAGGGTTTGGGGTGCCTGGCTGCACCCTGGCTAGGCTGGAAATCAGAGCTGCCTGCTGGGCCTTGGCTGGTGTGAGTCAGGCTAGGGCTGGTTTCTCTGGGGTGTTTGGCTGCAGGAGAACTGTTGGTGTCTGCAAGGTTAGGGTCTTGCTAGCTCACCCCTATGCTGGACCTATGTGGAGAGGCAGGCCTTCGCAGGGGTGGTCTTTCCATCAGTGTCTGATGGCTGTAGGCTTCTCTGGCTCCTTGGGCATATGAGGCACCCAAATGGACAGCAACAGAACTAACCTGATGACACTGGCTCAGGTCCTGAGATCTCTGCCCCTCCACTCTCTCCTCTCCATCACTCAGGGACATCTTCCACTTCGTTTGTAGACGACATCCAAGGTTATTTAGCCATGCTTAGTTGGAAAAAATAGGCAAAACATGTCTGTCTGCATTGCTTTCTCCATAAAATATTTTAAATCCTATGACATTGTGATGGATCAGTGCAATCACAGTTGGTGCAATTTATACCTTAAAGGAGTTTATGATCTAGCAGATGGATCCACCATCGTGAGCTAAGACGTAGGATGCATGACAATGGGATAAGAAACAGGAGAGATTTTATTTACATTTTCTCAAAAATTAGTATGTAAACAAATTGCTACTTCCTTCACACATATACCATTATTTAAATTTATTTTATTTATTTGAAAGGCAGAATAACAGAGAGAGAGGGAGAAATATACATGTTTATTATATACATTATATATATTGTGTGTGTGTGTGTGTGTAAGAAAGAGAGAGAGAGAGAGATCAAACTTCCATCCGCTGATTCACTCCCCAAATAGATGCAATGGCCAGGGCGCTGGGCCAGGCCAAAGCCAGGAGCCAGGAGCTTTCTCCAAGTCCCCCACGTAGGTACAGGGGCCCGAGGACTTGAGTCGTCTTTCACTGCTTTTCCGGGCACATTAGCAGGGAGCTGGATCAGAAGCAGAGCAACCAGGACTCACACCAGTGCCCACATGGATGCCAGCATTGCAGGCAGCAGCTTAATCTGTTATGCCACATAGCCAGCCCCCACACTTAACACCATATTGTATCTTTCTTCCCTCATTGTGTATGAAGATGTCAAGTTTAAGCTAGGGCTCTTGGTGTTCAATTTCTCAAAATTTGTTGCAAAGTCCTATAGTATACATAGCTGTCTCTTTAAGACTTTGTGTTAAAAATACTTTTTTTGAAGTAATAGACATTTTATTCAGTCTCATCTTAGATTATAGAAACTGATAGTCTAGAACGATTATATTTCGGGTGATAATAAAATCAGGAGAAAAAACATGATCTCTGATTTTCCACGCATTCAAGGATTTTGAATTGTGAACAAGGAAATTAATGCAGTTCCGGTCCACCCACCCCCCTGGGAGAGTAGTTCTTTGAATATTCAAAGGCCTCCCACCCTGTGTGCAGGAGGTGAAGTGGTTCCTCTGAGCAACCTCTGGACTCCTGCAGACACCTGGGAAAGTCATGCCACAGGGATGAACGAAAGCCAGAGGCCAAGGTCACCTCCTTGCTTTCTGACACTCACTGCACTCCCTCTCCAGGTAGCCCCGAAAAGCAGACAGGAAGAAGCTCAGTGAGACTTGAAGAACCTGAGCGATGAGCTCGTGCCTTTAGGGAACTGTAAGAAGTGCAAGGGTTTAGGCAGCTGCGGCTTGCCAGTGAGCCACAGCTTCATCTTGAAAATAAAAATAAGTGGCAGGTGTTTGGTGCAGCCATTAAGATGCTGCTTGGGATCCCTACATCCCATACCAGAATTCTGAGGTTCGAGTCCTGACTCCACTTCCAACTCCAGCTTCCTGCTAATGCGAACCCTGAGTCCCTGCCACCCACATAGGAAACCCAGGTTGGGTTCTCACCTCCTGGCTTTCAGCCTAGCCCCACCCTAGCTGCTGAGGGCATTTGGGGAGGGAACTGGCAGATGGAAGAAGCCTCAGTCCCTGCCTTCCAAACGAAATGAGAAAAAGTAAAATTGTTAAAGGAAAACAAAAATAAGGTAACGGAATGAAATCCTGTGTAAAGCATTTTTCTAGTCCACTATTTATTGATGTAGCACTATAAAAATACTGGATCCAGATGCATGAGTGGTTTTAAAACCGCTAATGTGTGTCTCTTGATTCCTGTGTTCCTTCAGCATGTACTGATTGAGTGGTGCCTGCCAGGTACCTTGTGTCCAAAATGTGGATGTGCCATTTGGCATTTTATTTCAGTCTACAGTTTGTTTTTATTTTATTTTTGTTTTTAGGCTCAAAAACCCACTTTTAGCTAAGAAACATTTTTTCAGCTGAGGCAAAACAAAGGACAGGTTTTCTGACTTCTAGACTGCAAGTTAGGTGCAGGAGCTCAAGACCACTTGTGCTGTGCAAGGTTAGCAAGCTGAAGGAAGTGAAACAAAGGGAATTTGGGGGAAAGACTGGGGAATTCGGGGAAATACTGCTTGTGTGAAGTCTTCCTCTCTTGCACACCTAAGCCCGGTGGATAACAGTACTGTAGAACATTTCCTGAGTGCCCAAGCTACGATTTCTAAAACACACTATGTTACTGGCACATTCCCATTGGTCAGATCAATCGGTAGGCTGAGACCTCCCTCCAGGTGCCTCTTCCACAATCAGTGACAGCTTGGTCCTTCCTGCCTACTCATTTCTGTTATGAGAGAGAAAAAATAAGTAGTCTTTAATTGATAATAGCCTTATGCTATTTAATTCTGCATTTCACATTGGGCAATTTCACCTGTCATAATAAAAAAAAAAGCATTACCTGCCGGGCTGTCTGAAGTGCATGGGCACTTGAGTTCTTTTCCCTTCCATCAGACCTTTAATTACTAATTTTTACCAATTTGGTCTATCCTCGTTTAGCCCAAAGGGCAAGACTCCGGATTGGTGAGGCCTCCAGGGGGTCACCACAGGCGTCCTCTGAGCTTTGACAAGAACCAGGAGTCTCCAGGCTTGCTCGTGCACGGGACGCTAATAGCTGTGTGACTGTTAGAATCACCGGGAGCATTTGCAAAAAAAAAATTATAAACTTCCCATTACCGGCATACATGCCTTTTATTTCTCAAATGTTATGGCAACTGCTTAAAAATATCTATACACTATAATTTCACGCTGCAAACATGGGCATTATGCAATAAAACCCCACACATCTGTAACTATAAAAACACAAAACTCCAAGGAATACTTTACCTATCTGCTTTCATCTTTCCGAATCAGTCTGCTTATATGCGATAAGCAGGTTGTCCAAATTAGGGGTTGACTTTAATTTTAAAATTTCAGGATAGCTCCTAGGTTTAGTTCAGATGCAGACTGTTCCCTCCACATTCTCTTCCAGACCTGGATACCTCCATGAAGGAACTACTCGCTCTCTGCTGAACTCACTATCAAAACAAGTTGAATTTTGCCATGCGCTAAGCGCAACTTCCATATTGTATATTTTAGCAGATTTCATTTCTTTCCAATTAATAGTGATATAAAGTAAAACTAAATTTTGTTAATCTTCAACATGAGAGTTGAGTCTCCAGCAATTCTGGATTCCATAGAATTATATTTCTAAAACATTAAGTCAGCTGTGAGGCCTGCTATATTATCTGTGTAAACCTTGAAAAAAACAATAACTTCCAAAATAAAACCGAGCCAGCATAAATGGAGAGAGATGACAAGATGGAATTCCTCCTTTGTTCCCTGTCTTGGACAGTGTCACGCTTGCTTTTCCTTTTGTCTGTCTCTCCGTGCCACCCCACTGTGAGGTGCAGTGGATGTGGGCTCCTCAGTCTGCAGTGTAAGTGAGCAGGTGGGGCGAGCTAGGTCTGTCAGCCGCCACACCAGCCAGGGTCCCTGCAGGTCTCCCACTGTCCTTCCACACCCGTGACTACCTGACAGGTTGTAACCCCAGTGCCTTTTAGCAAATGCAGTGGAAGTCAGAGACTTCTCAAAATGGCTAAGACCTAGGAGGCTGGCATTGTGACATAGCGGGTAGAGCTGCCACCTGGGACACCAGCTTCCCAAATAGGTGCTGGTTCATACCCAGGCTGCTCCACTTTTGATCCAGCTCCCTGCTGATGGCCTGGGAAAAGCAGCAGAAGATGGCCCAAATGTTTGGCCTCTGCCACTCACGTGGAAGAAGCTGACCCAGCTCCAGCCATTGTGGCCATCTGGGGAGTGAACCAGCAGATGACATATCTTTGTCTCTCTCTCTCATCCCGCTTTCTCTATAACTCTGCTTTGTAAATAAATTTTTTTTTTTTAAAAGCCCCAGGCATTGTATTTTACATCCTTTAGGGAGGACAGAAAATGAGTTGAGAACTCAAGAGATGGCAGCCAGAGACCCTCGGGTGGCTCAAATCCGGACAAGCTGCATTTTGTCCGCTGCCGCCCTTAAGGTCTGAAGTCCAATTGTTGGTTAATTCTTCTCTGAGAAAAAGCTGGGTGAAGAGTCCCTGCACTTAATCAGGTTAGTCTTAAAGGCCTCCCCTTCTCAGATCTGTACCTACCTGTGAATGGGAATTTCTTGGCAAACAAAATGCAGCTCCTCTGTTCTTACTTCTTGGCCCCAGATGTTCAAGGGTTTCTGCATGGAATGCAGTGGGACCCAGGAGACAGGGGGTCAACCAGCTCTTTCAGGGAGAAGTTCAAAGGTGGGGACCCCATGCGCTTCCATTTCAGGTGGTCTGCAGTTGACATTCACACCATGGAGTGTGAGCTCCCCACCCCCACACCCACCCACTGCACCCTCCAACCTGCGACCCCTTTTATACTCAAGGTTCTCACCTCCTGCTCGGTGAGCAGGA